TTCAAGAATCAATGCTCTAAGTCGATCATGGTGACCCAACTGTCCTTTGTTGGATACTGGTTTTCTACCCTCCAGTGTGAATAATCATGTGATGGACTTTTGATTAACAAGACAGAAAAGGAAACTCTGTAGGATAACTCTTGGAAAATATCTTTCTCCCATAAAAGAAGTCCCTGCCAACAAAATTTTGACAAGAGAAACTGATACAACTAATCAAGAAAGTGTAGTATTGGTAAAAAGAACAGACAAATAGATTAAAGGAACAAAATAGAAAGCCCATACAGCAGGGAAGTCCTTCCAATTCAGGATTAGTAAGTAATTCCTTTTGGCAACAGAGCTAAACCTGCATTCTCTGGTCAGCTTATCAGCAAGAAAGCTGACATTTTTATCTCTATCTGACACCTCTTTTTTAAAAAAATATTTATTTATTTATTTGAAAGTCAGAGTTACACAGAGAGAGGAGAAGCAGAGAGAGAGAGAGAGAGAGAGAGAGAGAGAGATCTTCCACTTGCTGGGTCACTGCCCAATTTGCCACAACTGCCGGAGCTGCACTGATCCAAAGCCAGGAGCCAGGAGCTTCTCCCAGGTCTCCCACATAGGTGCAGGGGCTCAAGGACCTGGGCCATCTTCCACTGCTTTCCCAGGCCATAACAATGAGCAGGATTGGGAGTAGAGCAGCCAGGACTCAAACTGGTGCCCATATGGGATGCCAATGCTGCGGGTGGCAGCTTTACCCGCTAATCCACAGTGCCAGTCACGACTCCTCTTTTTTTAATTAGTTCTGGGCTCCACAGGAGAAGAAAGTTTTTTTTAAAGTTATTATTTATTTGAAAGGCAGTTAGAGATATATAGGGAAATTTTATATATATATAGAAAGAGAAACAGAGAGAAAGGTATCTTCCATCCACTGGTTCACTCCTCAAATAGACTCAACAGCCAGAGCTGGACCAGACCAAAGCCAGGAGCCAGGAACTGCATCTGAGTCTCCCACAGGAGTGGGCAGGGAACCAAGTACTTGGGCCATCTTCTGCTGCTTTCCCAGGCACATTAGCAGGGAGCTGGATCAGAAGTGGAGCAGCTAGGATTTGAAGTGGCACACATATGCGATGCTGGCATCATCACAGGCAGTGGCTTAACCCTCTATACCACAATGCCAGCCCAGAAAGTTGTTAATCTATTAACCCCACAGGAATCCCTTTTGTTACTCTGCAGCCCAAAGAATTCCCAACACACACCGTTCCCTGAGCAAGCCTGTAATGAGGACACAACCTATGATGCAACAGAAGGACCCAACCCAGAGACCTCTCAGAATACAGTCACCTGGAAGGCTGGCTTCATATTTTATTTTCCTTCTACATAAGACTCTCTCTTCCCAAGAACTAAGCGAAAATACAACAAGTGATGAGAAAGGCTTCATCAGCATTGGTCAGATGGGAAACAACTAAAACTTCACAGCCCTCAGCTTTGTTGGTTCATACAATTCTCATTTACTTAACAGGAACTTTTTAATGTAGTTTAAATGAATGGCCTAGAGCTTTGAGATTTCCTACAAAACTGAACAGGCAGCAAGGAAACTGCCACAGAATATATGTGTACCCAGGAAGGGTGCTATACGCATTCCCCCAGGAACTAATTCGCCCCTTCCAAGAGCACCCTCCAACACTGGGCAGACGCATTAAGAACGTTCTGCCAATTCAGTCACTCACATCCATCTCACCTTCCTAAAAGACTTCAGGAACTAGATGGTTAATCAGCATTAAAATGAAATGTTAAGTAATTTTAAGACTCTACCTCACGGTTTGTTCAATGATCCATGTAGAGGCAGCTTTAAGGGGAAGGAGCTCAGCGTGCTGGACTCACAGTCTGAAATTCACTGGGGGCGGCACAGGCTCCACATTTGGTAGCAGACATAGTAAAACGATGGCAACCTCTTCCCTCATTTAGAATACAGTAACTAAAACTTCTCTGCTAAAGGCGTATTTCAGTCCGTTCTTCTACAAACAAGGAAACTGTGATCTAAACAACCTACATAGAAATAAAAATGAAAAAGGATACTAATGATACATAAATAAAATATATAAAGAATTGGAATCATTATGAAAGAAAAATATGGCATATATAGATAATGTAATACTACTCAGTCAGAAAAAAAGAATGTAATTCCATCTCTTACAACGAAATGGCTGCAAACTGCAAACATGACCATTATACTAAGTGAAATAACACTGTGACAAAAAAAAAAAAAGAAAAAGAAATAAAAATGCCAGAGTGGTCATTTCTCTATCAGATCTGCTGCATTAATTTCTCTCCATCTCAGAGGCACACGAGACAACAGCTTAAGAGGGCACTACCAAGCAGTTCAAATAGCTCTTGGAGACAGGGCTGCTGTCTGGGTTAGGGGGAGACCCAAACATCTGAGAAGCAGAGATGCTGGGCAAAGATGGTTTCCATGGTGACCATCTGGGTGCCCCAATGCATGCTATATGGGGCCAGTACTTAGGGAGCAAAGGTTGTAAAACATTCCAGGGAAACTCATACACCAGGCAGCTGCTCAGATGAAATCTGAATGGGAGACTAGCCCACCAGAGAGCACTTCTCTCAGACACAGACACACGGCAGCTCTGAACTCTATGGAATGTTTCAGAAGTTTGTAGAAAAATGGAATTAAAAGACAAGCACTCTGGGAGGCAACAGACAATGGCTCAAGTGCTGGGGTCACTGCACTCGTGTATGAGACCCAGATGGAATTCCTGGCTCTATGTTTTGGCCAGACACAGTCCAGGCTAGCTTGGATATTTGTGGAGTCAACCAGTGGATGGAATCTCTCTTGTCTCTCTCTCTCTCTCTCTCTCTCTCTCTCTCTCTTTTCTCCCCACCTCTTTGCCTTCCAAATTAAAAACAAATAAATAAAAAGTATTTAAAGTTTATTTTGGTACCAGAAGTTTGAAATACTGTTTTCATAATACACAGTTTTCATAAACTTTTTGAAGATCTTATACACATGGATTTCAAAATTTTCACACCAACATAAACTTATCTTTTAGTGTCATTTTCCATAAACTTTTTGAAGGGCCCTCATATGTGTCTAACCCTGTGTCAAGCTCATTTCCATACGCTATTTTATTTACTCATCACCAAAGCCTTTATAAAGTAGAATCAAAGTTGATCTCCTTTTGCAAATGAGTAAATGCCAACAGCTTACCCAAGACTGCTGAGCTTACAAAAGATGGCTTGAACCCAGATATAGGGCCCTATTTCTCCCACTCCACTCTAACAAAAATGAACAACAAACCCCCAAAAACCTTCAGGTCAGGTATTTGTTACAGTGGTTAAGATGCCAGTTGGGACACACACAGCCCATATCATAGTGCCTGGGTTTGACTCCTGGTTCCACTCCCAATACCAGCTTCCTGCTAATGTGCACCCTGGGAGACAGCAGGTGATGGCTCAGGTCATTGGGTCCCTGCCACCCACATGGGAGCTCAAGATTGAGTTACTGGCTCCTGGCTTCCAGCTACTGCAAGCAATTGGGGAGTGAACTAGCAGATGGGAGATTGGTCTCAGCCTCTCTATCTCTCTCTCTTTCTCTCTCTCTTTCCCTCTCTCTCTCTCTCAAATTAAATAAATAGTTTAAAAATAGATATTTAAAAACCTTTGAAACTGCTCAACTGGGGAGCTTCCTTGCATTCTTCTATAGGGCAGTATAAGCCATGATTTTGGAGATAAACTTGGACTCAAAGTTTGCCAGCTTTTGTCTCAGAGAGGAAAAGCACACAATTTCCCACAATTGCTAGATTCTGGAAAAGATCTCAAAATGTCATTTTGAAATATTAAGTCATTGGCTGGTGCCGTGGTTCAATAGGCTAATCCTCTGCCTGCGGCACCGGCACCCCGGGTTCTAGCCCCAGTCGGGGCGCCGGATTCTGTCCCAGTTGCTCCTCTTCCAGTCCAGCTCTCTGCTGTGGCCAGGGAGTGCAGTGGAGGATGGCCCAAGTCCTTGGGCCCTGCACCCCATGGGAGACCAGGAGAAGCACCTGGCTCCTGCCTTCAGATCAGCGCAGCACGCCGGCCATGGCAGCCACTTGGTGGGTGAACCAACAGAAAAAGGAAGACCTTTCTCTCTGTCTCTCTTTCTCTCTCTCTTACTGTCTAACTCTGCCTGTCAAAAAAAATTAAATATTAAGTCATCATAATAAAGAACTCCCTGATGGAGTTTCGAAAGACTTGAGCATGAGGTCAATACTGGGAAAGAAAGCAGAAATGACTTTACACTAAGCGAAACAAGTACTCTGTGAAATCACAGGAATGGATGTGAGTTAAAGGTCATTGGAACGATCACGTATACTTCACCTGCTTGCTGCAGGCAGGCCAGCTTTAGGAAATAAATTCTTGAGCTGAGATTTTTGTCCCATATTTAGTGTAAATATTCCCAAGAGGAAAAAAACCCACAAAGGCAATAATAATCATTAACACTGTAGTATAAAAGAGTATGTCACTGTACTTTTGCTGAGAAAGCACTCAGCAGTGGAAGGAAGGAGAGGAAGGGCCCTGGAGGAGATAGGTGCCAAGCCCAGAGCAGCATCTGGAAAAGTCTGGCTTCTGGAAGAAGTAGGGATTTGCCTGGAAACACTGCGCTTGGAAATAAAATGGAATTTAAATAGGAATATGGATGAATTTACAATACTCTACTTCATTGTAAACCCAATAAGGAGCCCATCTTCCATCTTTAGGAGAAATTGTCTGTCTCAGCTCTTCAGTAAATCTCTGCTAGCAAATTTGTACTTAATCCTTTTGTGTTGTGCTACCAGAAATACCACTCTAAAGCAAGAAGCTACTCAGAGAAGGGAGATTAGGCACAGCACCTCTGATTGCCATAGGAATAAATAGAAAATACAATCATAACATTAAATTATTCCATTAAAAGCAGATGATAGCTCTGATGGTGCCTAAAACCTGTAACTGGGTCACAGGGGTTAGAGTTTAGATAGAGCAGTACTCACTCGAAAGACCTTCTCCACTCTTGCAATGCTTTTCCCAAAGATGGTTCCAAGTTGATCTCCAATTCCAGCCAATAGGAAACCAAAGAGTGGAATCCCAAAGATGGCATATAAAATACAAAAGATTTTGCCTCCTTCAGTGCTTGGAGCAATATTCCCATACCCTGGTGAGAAATATTAAAAAGAGAGGGAGAGACAGAGGTGAGGTGGCAGAGAATTTAGAGAACTGACCAAGATGCACAGACTTTTAAAAAGTTCATACATTATCCCACATGAGTTTTAGGGAGTAGAACTTCAATTCAAAGAACCTAAACAAACTAATAGAGCACCATAAAGGCAATCTATAGAAATGAAATTGACAGTTTGAGAAGCAATGACTTTGAACAGCCCTTGTCTTCACTGTTGAGGAACAGTTGTTTTTTTTTTTTTCCATACTATTTGTTGAACTGTTTACTTAACATGGAGGTAATCATATGTGTATAAAGTTAATTGAAAATAGATCTTAATTAAAAAATAAGAGTGGGAATAGGAGAGGGAGGAGGAAGAGGGGTGGGAGAGCAGGTACAGAGGGAAGAATCACTATGTTCCTAAAGTTGTAATTATGAAATGCATGAAGTTTTTATTTCTTAAATAAAAGGATTCAGGGGCGGGGAAAGAACCTAAACAAAATCATAATTTGTTTTTCTTGCTTCTCCTCTTGAAAAGAGTTTGAAGGCTTCAGGGATCTGAAAACATTTTAGAAAGAATGTGGCCACTCAGACATGTCTTTCTGATTGAAAATGGTACCACTTGGCCGGCGCCGTGGCCCACTAGGCTAATCCTCTGCCTGTGGCGCTGGCACACCAGGTTCTAGTCCCAGTTGGGGCACCGGATTCTGTCTTGGTTGCTCCTCTTCCAGTCCAGTCTCTGCTGTGGCCCAGGAGTGCAGTGGAGGATGGCCCAAGTGCTTGGGCCCTGCATCCACATGGGAGACCAGGAGGAAGCACCTGGCTCCTGGCTTCGGATCGGCACACATGCCAGCTGCAGCGGCCATTTGGGGGGTGAACCAACGGAAGGAAGACCTTTCCCTCTGTCTCTCTCTCTCACTGTCTAACTCTGCCTGTCAAAAAAAGAAAAAGAAAAAGAAAAAGAAAAAGAAAGAAAAGAAAAAAGAAAAGAAAAGAAAAGAAAAGAAAAGAAAAGAAAATGGTACCACTCTTACTATAGTTTGGATAAGATTTGACCCCTAAACATAGGATAGGTGGGACTTTAGACTCAAAATCATATTCTAATACTGCTAAGAAGGTAGAAAATTAACCTAATTATGGTATTTGGAGGTGGAACCTATGGGAGGTCCTGCAGGTAATGGAGAGTTTTTATGAAAGCCAAAGTTTGGGCCCAACTACTCTCTGCTTCCTGGCTCAACAAGATCCTTTGTCCATATGTACCTGCACTCCACCAGTGCCATCTGTCACTATTTTCAGAAGCCAAACCAAGGGGGACCACCCAGTTATGGACCTGAACTTCTAGAATTGTGAGCTACATAAACTTTCTCTCTTTAAAATCTAATTGCCAGAGCTGGCGCTGTGGTGTAGCAGGTAAAGCTATTGCCTGCAGTATCAGCATCCCATATGGGCGCTAGTTTGAGACCCAGCTGCTCAACTTCCAATCCAGCTTCCTGCTAATGTGCCTGAGAAAGCAATGGAAGATGGCCCAAATCCCTGGGCCCCTGCACCCGCATGGGAGACCTGGAAGAAGCTCCTGGCTCCTGGCTTCAGATTGGCCCAGCTCCAGCCACTGTGGCCATTTGGGGAGTGAACCAGCAGATGGAAGACTGCTCTCTCTCTCTGTCTCTGCCTCTGCCTCTATGTAACTTTTTCAAATAAATAAATCTTTTAAAAGTGTATTGGATAAGAGCATAGCTTAAAAAAAAAGCTAATTGCCTCAGCCATGTCACTGTATAACAAGAAGTTCACTATCTAATCCTCTGCTGAAACATCAAGTATCACAGACATGGTTGGGGCAGGGGAGTTCGAGCCTCTGGAAAGGCTTCACCACTACCTTTCTCAGATCTGATAACAGTTTCTCCTTTGCGGCCTTATCCCGTGGGCAGCCTCTCCACCTGGACAGACTGCCACTGTGTTCAACCTTTGCCTTCACAGACTGATGAGAGCTACACACGAAAGAGGAAATGTGGCCTAGTACAAGTTCAGGAAGTACCCATGACTCATTCATCCCAACTCCGGGAAGCCTGGACACAGGAATGAATGGAGAAGGACAGATTTTATGCCTCTGCTTCCCCTGCCCCGCCACCCATTGGCAGTGAAGTCTACCTATGCCTGGCTCTCTTTTTCTCTTTACAGTGATCTCCACACCTTCTCTGAGTTCCTGCCTCTCACCCACCTCTTGCATCAAAGGAAATCAGCACCAAATAAATGTTTGTTGGTAAAATGGGTGCTTAAATCAAAGAGAATCATTTTATAGTCAGGTCTATTAATGTGTATTTCAAATAGTGCTGTGAAAACACTAGTATCTACATTCTTAAGAGTTTTGCAATTACAGAAGTTATTTACGTACAGTGAGTACTGGGCCTACACTATATGAATGTAGCTAAAGTATTGCGGGAAGAAAAGGTTCATCATGTTAGCACAATGCAGGATGAAAGTTCAACTGATAATCATTTTCATTCCTATTGATATTAAAAATCCTTTGTGAAATAATATCTAGATAGTCCCCTAAACATTCTTCCAAGTGCAAGTAGCTCATGTGGGGTCTGTGACTCCATGCAATAGGGGAGTTACTGGGTCTGTGGATATGTGAAGGTTGAGAATACAGCACAGAATAGTGTTGATGGTTGGCCCACATGCACTCTCCCATGGGTCTGGAGAACTCACTGTTGAGTTCTGCTTTGGGGATGAGTCATTTGGCTATTTCCCTTTTCAATTTCCTGTTTAGAATCATTCAAACTCTCATCACAAATTATCTAAATTACAGTTTCCATTTCTTCGATGAGTATTTAGGCAAGCCTTTCTAATCTTGTGTTTCTTTCATTTACCATCATTTGGGCATAAATGTGCAAAATAGCTCTCAGAACTTTTCTCAAGTGCTTTAGAAACTTGAACAAAATCTTTTTCTAAGATTTTTCTCTGGAAGAATCCAATTTACACTAACCTAGCCCTGTTGAAAAGGAAACAAATGTGCCTCTATGGCTTAACTTTATACAGGTTTATGATGATTCCTGGCAAATGTTTTAGTAACTTGTAGAAACATTCAAGACTGTAGCATTGTCTTTCTTTCAATTGTACAATTCAAGGAAATACAAGTTTTCTGAATGTCTCAGAAAGAAATACACTACAAACACAAGCAAGCAAATTGTAGGTTTGAGCTCACTGAATAGGCACCTTATTAATCCTCAAAAAGTTCATCCTTCCTCCCTCATCACCATCACCAGGGTAAGGTACTGCACTATGTCACAGAACATGACCAAGTGCATTCCCAGGACCATCAGAGAGAAGTAAGGAGATTGAGGCTTCCCATACCCCTTGTTTGTCCTTAGATCTATTTAACCTCTACAAATCCTACTGCTGGAAGAGTTCAAGGAAAATGTAGAGGAAAATCAGAGAAATAAAGTACTATTCCAATACAAAGGAGTATTGTAGCACCTGCCCCTTATTTTTTCCATGTTTCTTGGACTAGAACACTAAAATAAAATTAAAGCAAAGTTCTTGAGTAAGAGCGCTAATGATGCAATATTCAAATAAGTCTGTAGCAAAGGTCAGTTTTTTCTTGGTGATTCACTTCCTGGTGGACATAAAGTAACTGCCGTCCTTGAGCAATGCTGTGCAGATGCTCCTCAACTTATGATTGGGTTATATCCTGATTAAACCCATGGTAAATTGGAAATAAGTGAAACATGCAATTAATTCATGCAACCTACTGGATACCATAGCTCAGTATATATGCAGATCATGTACATAGAGTACCAGCTTTTATCCTTGTAATTGCTGCTGGCACCCCGCATTGTAAGAGAGTATCCTACCCCATATCTCTAGCCCAGTAAAAGAGCCAAATTCACAATCTGAAGGATTGGTTTCTACTGATCGTGTATCACTTTCACATCACCAAAAAGTTGAAAAATCGTAAGTCAAACCATCATAAGTCAGAAAACATCTATATTTTGTATATGGACACATGTGTGTATTTGTATTCTACATTCAAATGCTCTATCACTGAGCTATAGCCCCTATATTCTGTATCTCTATGAACTACATAAAGCAGTTTGACCCTCAGCCCCGTTATTCTGGGAAAAATTTCAGCTCCTACGCATGGGAGCTTAACCTTGAGGCAATGGGAAGGCCACCTTCCTAGTCAGGGCTCTAGTCATAGCAGGCTTATTAGGCCACCCTGTCCACCTTCTCACAATGTTGGTAAGACTTTTAAGGAAGATGTGATGGTTATGTATAAGTTCTAGAACTAGAGACAACATCAATTCCTATTCTGCTTCTTCTATTTACTGACTCTCTCAGGCAAGTTACTTCACCCTCTGTTACTTTCCTCATCTGAAAGATGGAATACCTTACAGCTAGTCAAGATTGAAGTGAGTTACATGTGAAGCATGAGATACTTGTGAAGGTCAAATACACATGAAGCATGACACAAAGTATTAGCAATTACCATCCTGTCCTCTGGTTTCCTGTGGAAGGAATCATTTCTGAACAGTCTGTCTCTAGGACAACTAAGCCCCAAGAGAAAAGAGATGGTTGATCCCTATTTTCCCTGCAGAAATGCTGCTATTTTTCAGCAGCACCAGGCCAAGGGACCAAATGTCTATGTCTGAGTTTGGGTGAGCTTCTGGCTGGATTTGAGGTATGGGTGTCTCTTGGAGCAGCTAGAAGCAGTGGGGACTAAGAAATGAGGGGGTAGCCGGCGCCGTGGCTCAATAGGCTAATCCTCCACCTTGCGGCGCCGGCACACCGGGTTCTAGTCCCGGTTGGGGCGCCGGATTCTGTCCCGGTTGCCCCTCTTCCAGGCCAGCTCTCTGCTATGGCCAGGGAGTGCAGTGGAGGATGGCCCAGGTGCTTGGGCCCTGCACCCCATGGGAGACCAGGAAAAGCACCTGGCTCCTGGCTCCTGCCAGGATCAGCGCGGTGCGCCGGCTGCAGCGGCGGCCATTGGAGGGTGAACC